GACCCGCGGCCCCACCCCGGGGGGGCAAAGGTCGGGTATAGCCAGGAGGGGAAAAAACACACAGACACAATGAATCGTCGATTCCCAGGAAAATATGGGAAAATATGGGAAGTGGGGGGGAAGACAGAAACCCGGAAAATATGGGGAATCAGGTGATTTGTGTGTATTTATTTGTGTGTCCCAGGGCCCCTTCAATAGCCAGGACCCCAGGTAAGGGGACCCGGTCAGTGGTAGGGCCCCGGAGCCCCTGAATTGGCCAGAATCACAAGGGCGCCCTCGAGGGCGCGAAGTTATTCGCGCTTCGCGGTTCGGCTCCGATTCCTCCTCACCCTCCATTTCTCTCCTGGGAGGCGGGGCGAGAGCGCGAAGTTATTTGCACTTCGCGCTTCGCGCAGCGAAGCGCGAAGTTGGGAGCCCTTGGGTATAGCCAGGACCCCAGGTAAGGGGACCTGGTCAGTGGTAGGGCCCCGGAGCCCTTTATTTAAGTGGCCAGAATCACCAAACCAGGTCTGCCGCAGCTGGTGTTTTTTCGGGTGACGGCAGTTCCAGTTGGTGGAACGGGGCGGGGGGGGGGCGTCCCCCAGTACACACCACTAAACCAGGCCCCACCTCGGGGGGGCAAAGGTTGTGGTTGTGGAAGTCGATTAATGGAGAGGAAGCACGCTGCCAAACAATTCCCAGATGTCTAAAACAAATGTTTCAAACATGGTTTTAATATCTGTAGAAACATGTTTGAGACCTATTTAGGACATGCTTTACACATTTTGACCACATTTTTAATTCAATGATAGGATTGTTAAAGTGTCCATTGTCGTGGCATGCACAAGCAAAACGGGGGGGTCGGCACGAGGATCATCGAGGATCAAATCAGGCGATCGCGAACATGGATCAAGGGGGCGTGGATTAGCGACGGGTCCCGTTTCCATGGGAAATCTGAGATTTCCGCCGCCGAAGGAGGCGGCACCGGCCGCATTTGGGGGAGGGCACCTCCCCCGATCCATGGATTTGGCGACCGCGCGCCAAATCCATGGATCGGGGGAAACGAGCAATGACATAAACATGAAATCTCAGAGGTCCGCGCGGATTTCTCGGATCCGCGCTGGACCCCCCTGGCGGCGCCTCCGGCGCCGATCCGACAAATCCGCGCGGCCCTCCAAGTTTTTATGTTCATGTCAGTGTTCGTTCCCTTGAAAAAGAACTCCATGCAGTGGAAACCCATGCCAAAGAGCACTCTGCTTGCCTCCAGGGTGCCCTGGGCTTCTTGGGTTTCGATGGCTTTGCTATGGAGAGCGTGACGTTCCCACGCCAAAAATCAGGGGACGTCCTGGGGTCTCAGGGTTGGGTTTCTTGCGGAAGCTTTTCTTGTGGTCGAGCTCTTATTGTAACTTTATGTCGGGCGTGTCCCCCTACAGGGGGATTTCCGACGATGAAAACAAGATACCCCCAAAATACTCCAAAAAGGTCAAACAAATTTCAAGAAATAGTCCCCAGACTACTGTTGTACAATTTTTGGCTATTTTGGGTGTATTTTTTTTATTTTTCGTCGAAAATCCCCCTGTATGGGGGACATGCCCGATTTAACTGTAACCCCAACAGCATCGTGCGGACGCGGCCGCGGCTTAGGTCCCCGTCTCTGCATCAGGGATATTCGATCTGGGTGGTATGGCCTGGCACATCTGCAGAAGACCCCCCCCCATATTATCCTCAAAGGTTTTTGGCCACCCTAACTTGGGTCCCCTCCTCCTCCTTCCCCCCCCCTTCTGATTAGCAAGAGAAGGACCCCTGACCCTCTGGGAGGGGACCCAGGGTTAGGGTGGCCAAAAACCTTTGAGGATAGGGGGGGGGTCTTCTGCAGATGTGCCAGACCAACAGGGGAACAACAAGCGGCATAAGCATAAAAATACTCGGAGGTCCGCGCGGATTTCTCGGATCGGCGCTGGGTCCCCTCCCAAAGGGTCGGGGGTCCCTTCTCTTGCCAATCAGAGAGGGGGGGGGGAGGAGGAGGAGGAGGAGGAGGAGGAGGAGGAGGAGGAGGAGGAGGCAACGCACTTTAAGCGAGTTGTTGGAAGTTTTTTGAACAAAGTCTTGGCCTAATCCCGTGACGATCGTGGCAGCAGCGTGGCCCCATCCACTCTCACGCAGAAGGCAGAGTGGGAGGTCAAAGAGAGTCAAGACAGAGTGGACAATCTTGAACTTTGACAGGACGAGATCGTCGCACATGTTGAGAAGCTCGAGAAGGAAGGCGCCGACATCCAATCTCGAGTCGAGGAAGAAGAGAAGACCACCAAGCGGACCATGGAGGATGCTCAGTCCAAAGTGCAAGCTGGTCAGGGAGCTGCCCACGACGTCCCCCAAGCCCTCTTCGGCCACTTCACGGGGAAATCCGTCTTGAGCTGATCACGGGCGGCGCTCCCCGCGGGGAAATGCGTTGATATTGTTTTCGACACCCACCCGCCCCCAATGGGGGGAATCTGGTGGCCACTTGGATTAATTGTCAGACCCTGCCCCCCCTTCGCCAGGCAAACAATTTCGGCAAGTCGCCTGCCGTGGTCGGTGTACAAAAATGCGAACCGTACCGCGCCTGCCAGGCCAGCGAGCTCGCGGATTGCACGACGCAGCAACGGGCCATGATTCTTTTCCCGCTTGCCGGCGACGCGTGGGGAATCGTGCGTGCGACAAACGCAGTATCTCATGTAATGCTAAAATGCCGCATCCGCGCGTTGTCGTCAACTGTCTTCGTCGTCGCCGTCTTCGACTACGGTGGACCGTCGCAGCACCCCCCCATCCTCTGCGTGGGGCGTCCGCAGTGGCGCACGTCCTCGTCGGTCGTCGTCATCGTCGTCGCTGCGCGTCGCCGCATGTCGCCGCTGTCGTCGTCGTCGTCGTCGTCGTCGTCGTGGTCCCTACTCTTTCCCATCCAGGGAGGAGAGAGCAGGAGGAGGAGGAGGAGGAGGAAGGATAAAGAAGGGACAAGGAACAGGGAGCAGGAGGGAAAGAGGCTTGAACAGGGGCGGTCGTGAACAGGGGTATCGTGAAGGGATGGTCGTGAAGGTCGCCCCCAGTATAGTTGCAGCGAATGCATTGCACCACACGCGTTGCCAAAGACTGGTTCGACAGCATGTGGTGCTCGAAACACCTGCTTGAGGTCCACGCTGACTGATATTTGGGGCACGGTTGCGCCAATGTCTGATATGAAGAGACAGTTTCGGGCCACGCTGTTTTGGCTTCGACAACACGGGCGTTGCGCGCCAGCGTTTGTGGCAGCGCGTATACGTCACAATCGAAAAGCCGCCATGTCGGCCTGGAAACTGAAGTGTTTTCAAATCAGCACGTGTTTCTGTGGATGCGGTGAGAGAGACACGCCGCCATGTTGGCTTCGGCGCTGCGCGTCTGGCCGCCAGGCCTGCGCGCCAGCGTGCGCGCTAGCGTGTGGGCCCGGCGTGTGTGGCAGCATACGTGTCACATGACAAAAGCTGTCATGCTGGCATTGAAACTGAAGTGAACCTTCAGCGGTGCCCGATTTGATTTTCAAGTCAGCATGCGTCTCTGTGGGGTGGTGAAAAAAAAAGCACGCGCTGCCGACACTACGTGGGTGCTGGGCCACCCGCCACGCGCGCCAGCTTGTGCGCGCCAACGTGTGTGGCAGCATGTATATGTCACAATCGAGGAACCGCCATGTCGGCTTGGAAGCGAAAGTGAATCCTTCACGGTGCTCGACTGGGTTTTCAAAATAACATGAATTTCAGTGGGTGTTGTGGAAAAGCGCCGCCATGTTGGCTCCGACAACACATGGGCATTGGACCACCCAGCCTGCACGCCAGCGTGTGCGCGCGCGTGTGTGGCAGCATGCTTGTGCTGCGATAAGAGATTACCATGTCAGCCTGGAAACAAAACGTGGGCCATTAGCGGCGCCCGAGCGGATTTCCAAGCTCGCATGCGTTTCAGTTGGTGTGGTTGGTAAGCGAAGGCACGCGCCGCCATGCTGCTTTCGACGCTGCATGGGCGTTGGGCAACCCGCCGTGCTCGCCAGCGTGTGCGCGCCAGCGCGTGTGGCAGCGTTGGCATGCCACCATCGATAAACCGCCGTGTCGGCATGCAAACAAACGTGAGCGATTAGCGATGCTCGATTGGATTGCGCGGGCCCTACGGCCTGTGCCGCCGACCCTGGAGGCATCGGCTCTCGACGGCAAAGGGGGGGAGAGGGGGGGGAGGAGGAAGAGGAGGAGGAGGAGTAGAAGGAGGAGGAGAAGGGGGGAGGAGGAGCCAGAGGAGGAGGAAGAGGAGGAGGAAACGTGAGCGATTAGCGATGCTCGATTGGATTTTCCGAACACGCGACGGTGTGCTCGCGCGTCGCGCGCCCCTGCGCCCAGCGAGGCGCGCGAAGCCTGGCGACCCGGCTACCCAGGAGGAGGAGGAGGAGCGAGGAGGAGGAGGAGGAGGAGGAGGAGGAGGAGGAGGAGGCACCCATACCGCTACCTTTCCCTCGTTTTCCCCCTGTTGGGCCTCCTCGGAGGCCCCCGTCGCCACCGCTGGATTCGCCTTGAGATTCTGGTCAGAACGCACTCTGGGAGAGGCCTGGGGAGTAGCGGTATCGTTACCTTTCGGTTTCTCCAGGTGCCCTGCATCCTTCTGGGCACTACGGTGAAAGTCCATAGTGAGGACGGGCAACCTTCCCAAGGGCACCCTGGCGTCCTCGGAGTTGCTCGGCAGTGCACCCCTCAAAACAAACATGTGTTCCACCGGGGCGTCCAAGGACCGGCCAAGGGTCTGGCGTCCTTGCAGCGCGTCCCTGCCACTGAACTTTGCCTGTGTGCACTCTGCACGCCCGAAATGGGTACGGAAAGAATGGGTGCAATGCCCAACAGCAGTTCCTGCTCATCTTGAACAGGACTCGCTGTCCGCGCCGCCGCGGCCCGTGCCCATCTGAGACAGGAGGCCTCCTGCCCAACAGCGGCCGCTGTTGATTTGGGACAGCAACATTTGTTGTTGGGCACCACCCA